ACGCATTCTCCAACGCGCCTAGGCATGATTCTGATCAGGTGGTCAATGTCCTCCTGTGGTATCTCATTCCAGGCAACCACCAACTCCTCTCGAAGTGCTTCTAGAGTCTGAGGAGGACGTTGCAAATTGAGCAATCTCCTACCCATCATATCCCACAGGTGCTCAATTGGGGATAAGTCGGGAGATCTTGGTGGCCATGTAACAATGTGACATCATTATGTTGAATGAAGTCTATTGTGACTCTTGCAACATGTGGTCGGGCATTATCTTGTTGGAAAGTTGGATCTGCCAGGGTGTCAAGATAGGGTAAAAGATGGGGTTCTAGAACTTCGTGGATATAACGCTGCGCGTTCATGTTACCTCTGATGAAGATTAAAGGTGATCTGGAACCATAAGCTATAGCACCCCAAACCATAACTCCAACAGTGTGATGAACATGTCTTTCAACAAAAAACTGTGGATTCCTCCTTTCACCACGTCGCCTTCTAACCCTGGCACGACCATCTTGCATGCCTAAACAAAATCGAGACTCGTCACTAAAGACAATACTGTTCCATTCCTGATCCCAGAGTGACCGTTGTCTGCACCTCTCAAGGCGATTACGTCGGTGTTCTCGAGTTAAAGGGAGGACCCAGTGTGGCCGGTATGAAAACAAGCCAAAACTTCTCATTCGTCGGTAAACACTTCGCATGCCAATAGGTCTTCAGTGTTCTGCAAACCACTCATTTGCAATGGACCTGGTAGTGGAAAAACGGTCCCTTAAGGCCAATAATCTTAGGCGGCGATCTTCACGGTCTGTTGTTCTACGGCGGCGTCCAGTGCCCCTTGCTCTTTGCGTACGGCCTTCTCGAAGCCATGCCTGACAACACCTAACCACACACTTCTTTGCACTCTAACTGCAATTGCCCGAAAAGAAAGTCCAGCTTCCCGAAGTCCCACCTTACGGCCCCTATCAAACTCACTAAGTTGACGAAATCGTACAGGTCTCCGTACTCTAGGCATCGTAACCGATCGTAAAGGATGTCAAGAACCAAAATCCGCCAACGTTGGTTCTTTACTGCGGCTGAAATATTCATTTTTAGAGCGTTAGTGAATTAAAAAAAAGCAGTATAAAAACCGGAATGTCCAACTGATAAGGCTGAAAATTTTTTCACTTGTTATTTACAGTAAGATAAATACATCCACCAACTTTTATTAAAATAAAACCATTTAAACTGGGTGTTCGGATTTATATGTCACTTAGTATATTTTTGTGCACGAGTTTTGTAATTGAAATGCTTTAGCGGCTTATAGGGAGTATCAACGTAGATTTCCTAACAGACGCCAACCTAACCCAAATGTTTTTATGTGTTAATTTCTAAGACTAATATGGAATTGCCAAACTTTCCGGAGCTAGAGGCCATGGTGTCCGGTATACTGTTCAAGAGGGTCTGGAAGTGATTAATTTGGCGTTGGATGATCCTAGTACAAAATGTTCAATGTCTGCAACGTCGCAGTTTTTGTGTTATTGGTTTGATTTTTGTGGTCAGATGGATCGCTTTTTACGAAAAGTGGAACCTTTAATTCTCATAATGAACATATTTGGTCGTCAGAAAATCCCCGTTCTGTAAGAGTCCACTCGTTTCAACACAGATTTTCTAGAAATGTTTAAACGTAAATGTTTAACGTTTAAATGCAAACTTATACTTAGCTTTACTAGAAAATTACATAGAAAATGTGTTAGATGAAGTTCCGCTAGCAACAAGAATACGAATGTGGTATCAGTACGACGCTGCCCCACCGCATGTTCGTCGTGACATAACCGCATTTTAGACAACAATGGTTTGACAGAAACGAACGCGTACATTGGCCTGCGAGGTCTCCTGATTTGAACCCCCTGTATTTCCTTTTGTGGGGCGCTTTCAAACAACTAGTGTATGTTGGTCAGTTACAAGAAAGAATAGATAATGCGTTTTGAAATTCAAGCCACATCAAATTTAGCGGAAATACATTTTTCTTTATTAAAAAGATTCCGCACTTGTATCCATCAGAATGGTGGTCTTTTTGAACATTTATTGAAATAAATCTTTGATTATCTAATTTGCTTTATTTTTCTTTACGAAAACAGTGCAATCTAGGAAAAATACACAAGAGTGATTATTTGTAGCAGATTGAAGGAACAATTCGAAAAATTGCGCGGTTTGAAAAAGCATACCATTTTTATATGGAAGAATAATGCCACTAATCCCCTTAGATAAATCCACATACCAATTACACTGGACAACAAATTTTAGTTTTTTAATTGTATCTTGTGGGAAAAGTGCACTTCTTTGTTAATTTTGGGGCGCTGAATCCAAAAATGACAATGAAATAAAAAAATTAGTTGCGGTTTAGAAAAAAAACTTTTTATTTTTAAGGATATATTAAAAAAAGTAACAAGATTCATATACTTATAAGAATCACTATATGCGCTGTCTTTTTGCTGTTCTTTTATGGATCGTTTCTGGAGCATCTCTACCAAGAGTCCAATAGTAGTCTGCAAGCATGGAAGGATTCCACTTTCCCTGGTACCTTTTTTCCATTGTTGAAATATCCTGATGAAAACGGCTCCGCAATTGTCAGGAAAAAAGTCCAGGTGTGAGTGTAGGAAATGTATCTTAAGAGACATATTACAGCCCATCTTTTGATACGATGACAGCATATTTTTGACAAGGGTTTTATAGTTGTCAGCTTTTCTATTTCCCAAGAAATTAGTAACCACCAGACGGAAATCATTCCAAGCAGTTTTTTCAATACCTGTTAAAGTGTTTTCAAACTGTGTATCTTTCAAAATATTTCGAAAAATACCTTCTTTAACCTTTGCCTCACTTAGTCTTGGAAATTTCTGACGCAGGTATTGAAAAGCAGACCCATCTTTATCTAATGCCTTGACAAAGTTTTTCATTAGGCCCAACTTGATATGCAGTGGTGGTAATAAAATTTTTTTCGAATCTACTAATGGCATATGCTGTACATTTTTTAGACCTGGCTCTAGGAATTGACGAACAGGCGAGTTTTGTCTTGTGTAATGAAGTGCCTTTGCCCGACTGTCCCATTCAGACAAAAAACAGCATAACTTTGAGTAGTCTAGCTGCAGCCCAAGTAAAAATGCAACAACTTTCAAATCGCCACAAATATGCCATTGGTGCTCATCGTATTTTATGCATGTCAATAGGTACTTCATATTGTCATATGATTCTTTCATGTGAACTGCATACCCTACAGGAAGAGATGGTAAAATATTTCCGATATGCAATAACACTGCCTTTAAACTCAATGTTGAACTGTCTATAAACAATCTCCATTCTTCTGGGTTATAGTTTATATTTAAAGCCGCCAGTAAGCCGTTAATGTTACTGCAGAAAACCAAGTTATTCTCCATATTGAAAAATGGTTCTAAGTCTTTGTGGCGTTTACGAAAAACACATACCGAAACATCGTCTTCTAACAAGTTCCACTGCTGCAGTCTTGATCCAAGTAACTCTGCCTTACATTTTGGAAGTTCTAAATCTGTTACAAGATCATTTAATTCTGACTGTGTTATTTTGTGCGGTTGGTGGCATGACGTGCTCGGTATAAAATCAGGATCTCATGACGTTGATGGCATATCTTCTTCCTGACGAATCACTCGATCGCCATGATCTGATTCGTAAGTGTAGGATTCTGGGGGTTTTGGAATAGTATTTTCGTCACTGTGAGGCACAGGTCTCATCGCAGATGGTATGTTTCGGTAGTTGATAACCGATTTTTTTTTCTTGGACATACCTGTGGCTTGTCCAACACAAGGTACCATGCAAAAGTAACAATCATTAATATGATTTGTAGGCTCTCTCCAAACCATTGGGACAGCAAAGCGCATAGACCGTTTTTTGCCATTTAACCAGCTCCTCAGACTTGAAGCACATGTATTACAGCAGATGTGGGGTGCCCACTGTTTGTCTTGATCATCTAGTTTACAACCGAAATAAAGCTGATATGTCTTTGTTATTAGTGGAGTAATAGACCGTCTCTGAGACGCAAAAGTCACATCACCACACACGTAACAAAACTGATCTGGATTGTTTACACACTTTCGAGACATCTTGCATGAACGCTGTCAGCCAACTGAGGAAAAAATGGGTAATATAAAACAATACAATGTACACGTATGTTTAACGTAACACAATCATGCCGATTACGTCATCTTTCCTTGCCGAATATAAAAATGTAGCACGTGCATTCTTGTGAATTACAGTATATTAACACTGTCACAGCAGGAACACATATAATTACCGTATCTCTAAAGCTTGAACTAATATTGAAAAAATAAGTTTCATTCCGGTTTTAGCACATTAAAAATAGTAATATTTTGTTGATTTTATTTAGGATATTTTTTGGCTGTTGATCAGTGTTATCTAATTTATTTTATTTTCCTTAAGAAAACAGAAAACAGAAAATACACAAGAGTGATGATTTGTAGCAAATTGAAGGAACAATTCGAAAAATTGCGCGTTTTGAAAAAGCATACCATTTTTATATGGAAGAATAATGCCACTAATCCCCTTAGATAAATCCACATACCAATTTTTAGTTCATTTCAGTTGACGGTTTTGAAGATATTAAAGATATTCAAACTTGAATCTTTCCAATGAAGCCCTGGAGGAAAAAATGTTACATAGAAGACCCCCTTGAAATGCGGCCCTGTGTATGATGTTTCATTTTTGGTCACGACTTTTGGATCACACTGTATATAAATAATAAATTCAATAGCACTTGGAACAAACTGAGACATCCTCAAATCCTACAGTCTACACTTTTTACATTGATTGGTGAATCTTGGTGGAAAAATCACCCTGTAAGAACCACAGCTGAATAATACGATCCGCGGGTTTTGTAATGGAACCCCTTCCAGGGTTCCACACACGCTCCGAATCTGGTTGAAAGTAAAATCAGCGCCAGCCTGCTTGTCGCAGTCCAGTTTTTACCTGGGTTCGAGACAGTGATCATAAAACAATCATTTAAAAGCACAGAACAGGTGAGTGAGGCGAACGGCAAAACTTGTTCGAAACTAGGTCTCGGTGTTTGGTAATAATATGACCGTTGAATTTTAAAATACGAAACATTGTAATAATTATCTGCCTAAATCCGACGGTTTAATACATACATATTTATAATTGCAATGAATAAGAATGTTCACAGTCACTTGCATTTGAATACATGATAAGGTTGCAAGGCTTTTGGAAAAAAGGCACATTCACCATTTTTGTCAAAAATGGTTTTAATTAGGCTCATCTTTAGTAGATGTGACAAGTTACAGAAAAGTAATGTTTGACATTTTGCGTCATAGTATACTATATACAGGGTTATCCAAATTAAGTGTCCACCATTAGTAACTTTGTTATTAGTGAAAATACAAAGTTGTTTGAATTAGCAAACTAGTAGCATTTTTAACGCTGGTAAAAATGAGAAATAAAAAAAACAATTGAGAGTCGTTATTTTGATTTTTTTCAGTAAAATAACATTTTTTTAAATGGAAACCCCTGTATATTATATTTTTTTCTGTTAAATCATCAAATTTTAAACAAAAAAGCTTACAATAACTTTTCTCCTAGGTTACAAATTGTTGAAGTTATGGCCTCCAATCTGAAACAATTAAATTGTATCGACAAACTTTATTTTCAACATCAACTTATAATCTTACAAAATACAATAACAATTTTTTTTAAAGAAGACGCTCGAAAACACCACCTTGTTCTTCAATACATTTTTGGGCACGTTTTTCAACTGCTCGAACTGTCTTAAGTATGGTCCTACCATCTATCTGGGTTATCTTTTCCCTAACTGCAGTCTTTAACGCATCAAGGTTATCGTACCTTCGCTTGTAAATTTGGTTCTTTAAGTAACCCCACAAGAAGTAATCAAGTGGGTTTAGATCTGGTGATCTGGGAGGCCACTGTATTGGGCCATTTGTTCCTATCCACTGATCATTAAAAGTAGTACTTAGAAAATGATAAGTACCTCTGGAGTTGTGGGCAGGTGCGCCATCTTGCTGAAAATGCAGATGATGTCTACTTATAAGATCCAATTCGTCTAAGAAATTAGTCAGAATTTCTGACATAAATTCCACATATCTTTCACCAGTTAGGGTTCCCTCATAAAAGAACGGGCCAACAATTTTTGAACCAATTATACCGCACCAAACGTTGAAACTGAAACGGACTTGTGGGCCTCTTGGATGTACTAACAAAAGATTTTCTCTTGACCAATAATGGTGGTTTTTTCTATTAAACATTCCAGAATTTGAAAAATTTGATTCATTTGTCCATAAAAGGTAACGAAAGTTATTTACATTTTGGCGACAGAAGCTAAGATACCAATGGCAAAAAACAAGTCTTCTCTCTGGATCCCCTGCCAAAAGCGTTTGAACTGGTCGGTACTTATACGGAATAAATTTGTATTTTTTTAAAATCCTTTGAACAGTACCATAACTGAAATTAGAGTCCTTGAGAATATCTGCTATTGAATTCTCACGATAAGCTTCAAAATATCCAATAACTGCAATTTCCGTGGCCTCGCTTATTATGAATTCTTTTTTTGCCCTTGTTTTAGCAAAAACATTTTCGTTGCCCCTAAATTTTCGATAAAGTCTCAGAAAATATCGTTCATACGGTTGAATGCGAGCGGGATATAATTCACTGTAGTATTCTCTTGCTCTCAAGGAGGATTTTCTGTACACTAAATAGCATTCTAACATATCACACTTTTCTTCATGGGAGAACATTTTTCTTTAAATTAATGACACAATAAAGCTTATAAACAAGTATTTACACTAATATTTGACATTATTTGATTTTATCATTGTTTTCCAAAGCCTTCTAGTTGCGAGTATGTCCAGTTTAACAATTTGTCGCTTATCTTAATGCTGTCAAATCGCGAACGCCATGTTGTTTTCATAGCCGTCTTAATATTATAATACTGCAAATAATTAAAAATATTTATCGTTATTTTGACTTTATTTTTGACTTTAGCGGAAAAGTCATTATGAACTTTTTTGTTTAAAATTTGATGCTTTAACAGAAAAAAATATAATATACAGGGGTTTCCATTTAAAAAAATGTTATTTTACTGAAAAAAATCAAAATAACGACTCTCAATTGTTTTTTTTTATTTCTCATTTTTACCAGCGTTAAAAATGCTACTAGTTTGCTAATTTAAACAACTTTGTATTTTTACTAATAACAAAGTTACCAATGGTGGACACTTAATTTGGATAACCCTGTATATATAGGGTGCTACTTAATGATTCGCCATCATCACAAGAGCGTATTTCTGAACCAAATTCAAGTAGAAAAGCTCATACAAAGCTGGGCCCTAAAAAGTCTGGTTTCCAATATACAAGGTATCAAAGATTAAAAAAAATATTTTTTTACAGAGGAACATAAAGTATATGGACACAGAAAATCAAAAATATGCTCGTAACAGAAAAGAATTTCCCAGAAACGATTTGATCTTATTTTAATATCTTTCTGATATGTAATGAAGTTGTCGTTTTTTTCTTGAAGACAAAGCAACATACGGAGAGAGACAAAAGATTTGTACCAATAGCTGCTTAATCTGAAAAAATCATAGAATCATTTTAGACAACAATGGACTGGCAGAAACGGACGCGTACATCGTCCTGCGAGCTCTCCTGATTTGGACCTCCTGGATTTCTTTTTTTGGGGTGCTTTTGAATAACTAGTGTATGCTGAACAAATTAATACTGTTCATCAGTTACAAGAAAGAATAGATAATGCGTTTCATTCAAAGCTTTGATTAACTAATTTGTTTTTTCTTATTTTTACGAAAATAATGCACTCTAGGAAAAAACATAAGAGTTATTTGTAACGAATTGATGGCAAAATTCTAAAAATTGCGTACAAATTATGCAACTAATCCCCTGTCTCTCCGCCACTAGTGCGCGTTAATTTTAGGTAAAGACTTTTGAATGTGGTCAGTACTTAGGTTGACATTTTTGAAGATATTAAAAAATTGTTTCATATTCTTAAACTTCAACACCTCTCGAGGAAAAAATGTTACATACGAGTAGTATGTGTGGTCCTGTGTATGATGTTTCATTTTTGGTCACGTCTTCTGAATCACCCTGTATATAGATTATAAATAACAATGCTTACAGCTTATATATACAGGGTGTTTCAGTTTATTGTTGCATAACATTAAGATTCGATAGAACTTTTAAAATTAATGCATAAAGTCTATGTAAACATGGGTCGAAAAATGCGTGGCTTCCGAAATACAGGGTGTTTAAATTTACCTTTTAAAATAGTTTTTTTTAAACATTTCGAACAATATTTGATGTATAACAGTGAAAATTGGTATGCAGGCGTTTTTTGGTACGACAAAACGAACCATGGGCATAGTTTTACTGTAGCTGCTAGAGGGCGCTCTCTACTGTACCTGTAGTGTATTAAAATGACCGAAAATTTTTTCTTAGTGCAATTTTTTGCTGTTTGAATAAAAAAACTGATTCTTCGCACTTTTCTGCATAAAAGAGCTCTCCTGTGAGTTTTCGTTATAGTCAGCCGTTTTTGAGATATTTCGATTTTTAAGGTTCGATGCATTTTTAATTATTTATGGGAAAATACATTTTCGATTTGGGCATTACAAGTGATTAAGATGATCGTTTATATTGTGTTTTTAAACACAGCAATAATTCCTAACTCCAAATAAACACAAAAAACAGAATATTAATTTGTTTAATTTTCCAATATTATTTTTATCAAATTAAATTCATTATTTACAACTAAAATGCTATTGGATAGTTAGGACAAACATACAAAATCAAAAGTAGTTGCTCGAAATGTAAACCTAATTGTTCAATACACAATTCACATCTACGAATGATCGAACGTGGTATAGCATTATTCAAATAAGGCCTTATTTCATCACATGCATTCCTGATTCTGTCTATTAGCATATCTCTTGTAGTTAGGGGAGTTTGATACACTTTTTCTTTTAGAAATCCCCACACAAAGAAATCTAATGGATTTAGGTCAGGGGATCGTGGAGGCCAGACGACTGGTCCTCCACGGCCGATCCATCTTTCTGGATAATTTTCGTCCAGCCAGTTTCTAACTATTCTCGAATAATGAGCTAGACAACCATCAAGCTGGAACCAGGCCAATCTTCTTAAATCTAACATAACATCATCCCAAATATTTGCATGTTCAGCCTTTAAAAATTCCAAGAAGGTCGCAGCATTTAACCTTGCAGGCAAAAGGTAGGGTCCAAATAGGCGATTACGGTAGATACCAATCCACACGTTCACACTAAATTCATGCTGAAAATTTCTTTTCCGAACTGCATGCGGATTTTCATGCGACCAAATATGTAGATTATGAAAATTTACCACTCCACGTCTAGTGAAGCATGACTCATCGGTTCATAAAACGTTACTTAAAACTCCCTATTATTATCAGTTCTATCAAGAATCCACTGACAAAATGTGATCCTTCGTTCTCCGTCCCCTGGCTGTAGTCCTTGCACAGGTTGCAAATGGTGAGGACGTCTATGGTCATTTCTAAGAACACGGTGAACATGGCTTGCTGAAATTTCCAAGGCACCAGAAACTCTCCTAACACTTGTGGTCGGAGCTCTATCAAACTCACGCAGAATCGTACGGGTAAATCTGCGCTGACGAACATTTATGTTTTGATCCCTTGGGAGATTTCCAAAACCATTTTCAATTATTTGGCGATGCACTCTTACAAATACTGAGCGAGTTGGATGTCGTCTGTTTGGAAATCTTCTTGCGTATTCTCTGGCTGCTTCTGCTACGTTTCCATTTACAAAGCCATACACAAAATGAATATCCGCTAACTCTTGATTGGAGAATAAAAATGGCATTTGTATAAAACTTACAAAAAAAAAACAGGTAAAAGAAACTAAATTTCGTGCATTCACAATTGCAAAAAAACGTTTCAGGTTTCAACAGACAACAAAACTAACTGTGAAATTGAAAGCAGAATTAGCTTTCAATTTCAAAAATATTTGCAGGCACAGCCTGCTTCTAAAAATTATCGAGATATTGACTTTTTAACGTTATTTTATCATAAATAATTAAAAATGCACCGAACCTTAAAAATCGAAATATCTCAAAAACGGCTAACTATAACGAAGATTCACAACAGAGCTTTTTTATGTTGAAAAGTGCGAAGAATCACTTTTTTTATTCAAGAAGCAAAAAATTGCACTAAGAAAATTTTTTCGGTCATTTTAATACACTGCAGGTACAGTAGAGAGTGCCCTCTAGCGGCTACAGTAAAACTATGCACATGGTTCGTTTTGTCGTGCCACAACACCCTTGTATACCAATTTTTACTGTTATACATCAAATATTGTTCAAATATTTAAAAAAACTATTTTAGAAAGTAAATTTAAACACCCTGTATTTCGGAAGCCACGCATTTTTCGACCCATGTTTATATAGACTTTATGCATTAATTTTAAAAGTTCTATCGAATCTTAAAGTTATGCAACAATAAACTGAAACACCCTGTATATTTAACTTTACTGTGGTTGTCTATTTTGAATTTTTTTCTGTTTGATATCCTTAATTTGTTAAATCAATGAATATGTTGATTATCTGTGCTAAGGCAAGCGCCAAATGGCAGAACTTGTTTTAAAGTAGGTCTTCGTGTGGTAACAGTTAAATTTTGAAATCCGATATTATTAAGCGCGTAATTATTTATTATAGATCATCACTGCCATAAATGCGAAGAGCGATTTCTTTGCGGTTTGTTAGTTGACATTAGTCGGGTAAAAGTCACGAGGAGACTTTAAACTCGCTTTGATCTTTTGACGTTGTTAACACCTGGATTTTATAAAGGTACAGTCGTTGGAGATTTTATTTATTTGAAAACTTTGTCAAAAAGATTTGTCAAGGGGACAACTTTTAACCAAAAACTGCTTCACCCCCTTCCACCCTCTGCCCCCCACCCAGGGTCATCCCCTTAAACATTTTAAATGACCAGGGATATTGAGTGATGGCTTGTTTGAAAGGTCTTTCGAAGTCTATTATTTTGACGTTTGATTTTTCAAAATCGGTCGATTCATTTTCAAGAAAATTAGAAAAATTATTATTTATCTTAATTTGTTCAGAAAGAGAGAAAATATCACTTTTTATTCCAATAAGTGTTTAAAATGTTGCCCGTTAGGGTTTGCCAAATCTACAATTCGTTTATAATTTAAAACGGAAACTACCAACATAAACAGAGCAATTCGGAAGATTAGACGTGGCAACAACCAAATAATAACCCGAATTTTTTTCCGCATTCTTTTCATTAACATAGATATCCTGTGCGACTTGTTATCCCAGCTCCAACACTTGGTACCAAGGACATGTTCTAGAAACAACACCTTCTTTTTTGATCCAGTGGAAATGCCAACTTTGCTTTAAAATCTCCTGTAACAGTCAACAGAATATGCAGTATTTGGGATATATTTATGAATTCTCTTTCTCAAATCAAGATCGTTTTATGGCAGCACCGTAAATAGCATTATACATGTTATATGATGTGTTTCTTTACTCTCTTAAATTTTAACAAATTAGTATTGTTTTTTATTGTTCAATACTTTCACCTGCAAATGGAATTATAAAAATTCTGATGGGCACTAAATGCCTTTATTATTATTACTACATTTATTTCTATCTACAGAATGTCGCCGCTAATGGTCTCAACGCTACTTCTTCTAGGCGTATCGTATGCCTACGCTTACTCTGCTGGTGCCCCAGAATCCGTATGCGAAGACATGCTTCCTAAGCATCCCGTCGATGCTCAAAAATCCAAAATGCCTTACAAGATCTCTGTTAGCAAAAACCAAGTGAAGGTGAGCTAGAAAAAACCTTTTTCCTTTTGATTTAGAGATAATAGAATAATAGAAATACAGCAGACGCTCGATAACGTAAACACGGGATAATGAAAACTTGCGCTAATGTAAACACAAACCTCGTTCTATAGGATCAAACGGAACGCGCGATAACGTAAACAATGTGTACGCTCGATAACGTAAACAACTCTCGGCGCACGGAAACAGCGCGACGGTAAAATGCTGAAGCCTCGATGATTTATGTCGGGCGTCGGGGAGTCCCCGATTTATGATGTAGAGTGTAGGGGATTCACCTCTGCGATAAAATAGGACAAACTCGGTCAGTCGTATGATCGTTTAGGATACGTTTATACGTACGTATGTATTTCATTTTTGAACTTAAGTGAATACATTGCACGCGTTAATATATTTTACGACTATGGCATCCACATCTTATAAAAGAAAGTGTTTAAATTTGAGTGAGAAAGTGAAAATCATAGACGAAGTTGCACTAGGTGCGGGAGTGACACAGTTAGCAGAAAAATATGGAGTATCGAAAGCAACAATCTGTAAAATTAAGCGTATGAAAACTCAAATTTTACAAAGAATGTGCAATACATTTGGAGGTCCGGGAAGAAGAAAAACTTTAATAAATGCGAAGGCACCTAAAATGGAAAATTCCCTGTATAAGTGGTTTTTAAAACAACGGGAAAATCATATCCCAGTTAGTGGCGAAGTACTTAAACAGAGAGCGAGACTGTTAAATGAAAAACTGAAAGAAACTGAAAATTTCGTAGCTAGTGATGTCTGGCAACAACGATTCAAAACAAGATATGGAATTCGACTGCTGTTTATATCTGGTGAAAAATTATCAGCACAACCAGAATTAGTGCAACCATTCAAAGAAAAATTGATGAAAACAATTACCGAGCTAGATTTAAGAATGGAACAAATTTACAACGCAGATGAGAGTGGCCTTTATTGGAAAATGTTACCAGAGAAAACCTATGCTGCATCATTTGAAAAATCTGCCGGAGAAACAACGAATAACGTTTCTAGCCTGCACTAATGCTAATGGTTCACACAAAATAAAGTCACTGGTAATTGGGAAAGCAAAAAATCCGCTCTCATTTAAAAATGTTAATATCCCTGTTGATTATGACTGTTCAAAAACCGCTTGGATGACTAGCAGTATATTCCTGAAATGGTTCCACATAGGCTTTGTCCCTCAGGTATGACAATCAATTATCACAAATGCTCTATTCATAATTTGAAGATGTGTTTTCAATTTGTAGGTAAAAGGTTTCCTAAAACAACAGAAGCTTCCAATAAAAGCGTTGTTACAATTGGATAATGCACCAAGTCATCCTCCCGAGCAACAACTGAGGATGAGGGATGGGTCAATTTTCGTCATGTACATGCCGCCTAACGTAACACCGTTAATTCAACCGATGGACCAGAATATAATAAGACTCACCAAACTATACTACAGGAAGTTTCTACTTTCGTCTGTCTTATCAAAGAATCCAGAAAACTTATCTGAGGCTTTAAAAAAAGTAACATTACGAGAAGCTGTTTTAGATTTACATATGGCCTGGAATGAACTTAACCAGCAAACTATTCAAAAATGTTGGAACAATGTCTTTTGTACCAATAATGAAGATGATGAAGAAGACGATGTCTCCTTAAGCGTAATTAGAGAACATTTGCGATCCAATAATGATAATGTTATTAGTGTGTCATTGGATGTTGTTGATTTATTGAACAGTGAATCCCAACATTGTTTGTACTCCTGCTGATATTAATTTATGGAACGAAAATAAGCAGACGAATGATGCTGATAAGGAGGAGGATATGGACAGTGAGGATGATGAGAACGATCCCATTGAAGTCAGAAGTGTAGAGACTGACACGCAAGCTATACAAGTTTTTAACCAAGCTTTAGATTGGGCTGAAAGAAAAGAAGTTTCGTACACGGATATTTTAGTTCTTCGTAAATTACGGGCGCAGGCATTGGAAGACAATGCTAAGCGCCAATTTACGCAGACAAAAATTGTTAATTATTTTTCTTCTTATTAAAGAAATACTTATCGCTGTTAGAATATTTGTTTATTTTGTTATAAATAGTATGTATTAAACGTTTCTTTTAATAAATCAGATATTATATAAATCACGTTCGCTAATGTAAACATTTCGATAATGTGAACCACACTTGGATTAAATTAGTTTACATTATCGTGCGTCTGCTGTAATACAAAATTTGTATAAATACATCAAACAAATATTTCAGCATTAGAGCATCTGTCGTGGTCATCTAAAAACGGTCACGATTTGGAATAGCCCAAGCGTTTTGTACATTCCTCCTTAAAAACTCATAAATGGGATCTTTGCAGTAAACTTAAATTCTCCTGGACTATTCCAAATCTGAACTTGTGCCTTAGTGCGGCTGTACACGTACGGAATTCCTATTCGAAATAGCCCATGACAACTAGACATTTTTTGGTAAAAATTCCAGATACAGTTTTTAAACGAAGAAAAGTTTAATTTTCCTGGGCTATTCCGAATCGGAATTCCGTATGTATTCGGCCGCGCTTTGTACATAAATTTGACACATTAAAGTGCCACAAAATTCTACACTTTATTTATATAGTCAAAATCACGAAAGATACCATAAACTGTGCTGAAGTAATCAATGGACGTACGTCGATGATAAAATCATTATGTTATGAATTTATATTATGATTTTGCGAAGTTAGGTTATTTCACTGATTATTTTTATTTTCATTTTATTTCATGGTTTTAAGTGATTTCTTAATAATAATTTTAGTGGGGAGTTTTTGTTTTGAAAGAACAGTTATGAGTGGAATACACCTTAAGACATTAGCACTAAAGACCAAAGTATTATTCGAAAACAACCTAACCTGTTTTAACATAACCTAACTATACATCTTTCAAATATGATCGATCATGCAACATGAAATTAGGAATACAGTTTGTTTAGACAATAAAAATCTGTTTGTCTCTGTCTAACATATTTGAAACTTCATTAAAAATATTCACAAATCGCAGTCGTTTGTCTTTACTACAGACTGAAGTGCTGACTTAGACGTCATCTTTCGTGATTTCGACTTTTTTGTATATCACAATTATTAAAAAAGTGTTTTGACGAAGATTGAATTTGGAAAAACTGAAACGAATTCAGGTACCTTTTGATGAAACTTTTGTCCTAAATATGGATAACTAAGATTTTCACATTGTTATGTAGCCTGGTGAACCAGTGGAGATTACTATCAGTGGAAAGTCCTTCAAAGGTTTCTTTTTGCAAGTAAGAGATGACAAAGGAAAACCAGTTGGTGAGTTCCAAATTCCTGACAACGATAAATACGCCAAGACTGTGAATTGTCAAAACAGCAAAGCGGTAAGTTATGTTTGGATTCACTGCTTCTTTTTGTTGCTTTTAAATGCATGAATGAACGTACACAAAAACCGCAGTGCTTACGTGTATACAGGGTGTCCCGAAAAAAGTGTGCAATATTCTACCAGCGGTTTCTAGAGCTTAAAATAGGAAGAAAAGTTTATATAAACATAGGTCGACAAACGTCTCCTAACGGCGCTACGGTCTTTTAAAGGGGCACCACTGAAGATGGTTTTTCCTTAATAGTTCCGAAACGTGTTGAGATAAAGACATAAAATTTGGTATTCTAGCCTAGTTTTTTATGCTGGATTTAAAAATGTTAACAATTTTAGACATTTTTGTTTGGAAGCGTACGTAACAGGGACGGACTCAGGTTATTTTAGCCCCAAAATTTTTGTGTGATTCTATTTTTGAAATTCAATTCTAGAATTTGAAAATTTAGGATTTTCTACATAAAAAAGGTACTCTTATTGAATATCGATAAATTGTGTTATTTTTGGATAAAATCAAACTAAAGAATTTGTCACGTGATAGGAAATGTCCTGCGAATTTAAATGAATTGTTGATTATGCACAGTTAGCCATGACTGCAAACAACAGTTGTTTTGATTTGTTATGATTTATTTTGACGTTAAGCTGACATTGTTAGCAGTGTAAAATTACTAGAAACTTTTATTAAATCGATTTAAAATGCCAAGATTTACAGACAGAGAACTGACTGACATGCATTTTGTGTACGGGTTTTCCAATGGTAGTTCATTGGCAGCCGTAAGAGAATATCAAAGAAGATTTCCCAATCGCATACTACCTGGACGTCGAATGTTTACTGATATTCACCGGAATTTGTCAAACCATGGAAATTTTCAGCGCATGCAGGGCTCAGGAAGGCCGCTGGGAAATCATCGTATGGGTATTGCTTTAAATATGTTTGAAAATAATCCGCAAATAAGCATACGAAATGTTTCACAAAATATGGTAATACCTAAATATATATTTATGTAATATTTACCAATTAATAAATTAGTTTTTTCGTTGCCATGGATAATTATTCAAGAATTCATTTAAATTCGCAGTACATTTCCTATCATGTGACAAATTCTTTAGTTTGATTTTATCCAAAAATAACACAATTTATCGATATTCAATAAGAGTACCTTTTATATGTAGAAAATCCTAAATTTTCAAATTCTAAAATTGAATTTCAAAAATAGAATCACACAAAAATTTCGGGGCTAAAATAACCTGAGTCCGTCCCTGTTACACATGCTTCCAAACAAAACTGTCTAAAATTGTTAATATTTTTAAATCCAGCATAAACAACTAGGAGGGGATGTTTGTCGACCTATGTTTATATAAACTTTTCTTCCTATTTTAAGCTCTAGAAACCGCTGGTAGAATATTGCACACTTTTTTCGGGACACCCTGTATAGGTTTTAAGCACCATATGATCTACTTTACGGCTACTTCATACATTATCCATTTCATTGCACAGACATCGCAGCCGATCTACTTGACAGCAATTTTCAAAAAAATAATTTATTACATGTACAGGGTGAACGAAGAAATGCAGCAGCCTATTACTAGGGAAGTAGATGTTAGACAAAGACGAACATTTGAGGTTTCAGTAAAATATTTTCAAAATCGTGTCTCTTCCGATTATACAGGAAGACGATAAAAACTCGCTTATGTAAGATCAGCGTTTATTAGCGTAGAAAATGAAATACTTTGCACTTTTTCTTATAGAAAATCGTTTATATACTAAGTGACATATAAATCCGAACACCCAGTTTAAATGATTTTATTTTAATAAAAGTTGGTGAATGTATTTATTTTACTGTAAATAACAAGTGAAAAAATTTTCAGCCTTATCAATTGGACATTCCGGTTTTTATACTGCTTTTTTTTTAATTCACTAACGCTCTAAAAATGAATATTTCAGCCGCAGTAAAGAATCAACGTTGGCGGATTTTGGTTCTTGACATCCTTTACGATCGGTTACGATGCCTAGAGTACGGAGACCTGTACGATTTCGTCAACTTAGTGAGTTTGATAGGGGCCGTATAGCGGGACTTCGGGAAGCTGGTCTTTCTTTTCGGGCAATTGCAGTTAGAGTGCAAAGAAGTGTAGACAAGTGGTTAGGTGTTGTCAGGCACGGCTTCGAGAAGGCCGTACGCAAAGAGCAAGGGGCACTGGACGCCGCCGTAGAACAACAGACCGTGAAGATCGCCGCCTAAGATTATTGGCCTTAAGGGACCGTTTCTCTACTACCAGGTCCATTGGAAATGAATGGGTTGCAGAACACGGAAGACCTATTGGCATGCAAAGTGTTTACCGACGAATGAGAAGTTTTGGCTTGTTTTCATACCGGCCACACTGGGTCCTCCCTTTAACTCGCGAACACCGACGTAATCGCCTTGAGTGGTGCAGACAACGGTCACTCTGGGATCAGGAATGGAACAGTATAGTCTTTAGTGACAAGTCTCGATTTTGTTTAGGCATGCACGATGGTCGTGCCAGGGTTAGAAGGCGACGTGGTGAAAGGAGGAATCCACAGTTTTTTGTTGAAAGACATGTTCATCACACTGTTGGAGTTATGGTTTGGGGTGCTATAGCTTATGGTTCCAGGTCACCTTTAATCTTCATCAGAGGTAACATGAACGCGCAGCGTTATATCCACGAAGTTCTAGAACCCCATGTTTTACCCTATCTTGACACCCTGGCAGATCCAACTTTCCAACAAGATAATGCCCGACCACATGTTGCACGAGTCACAATAGACTTCTTTCAACATAATGATGTCACATTGTTACCATGGCCACCAAGATCTCCCGACTTATCCCCAATTGAGCACGTGTGGGATATGGAGATTGCTCAATTTGCAACGTCCTCCTTAGACTCTAGAAGCACTTCGAGAGGAGTTGGTGGTTGCCTGGAATGAGATACCACAGGAGGACATTGACCACCTGATCAGAAGCATGCCTAGGCGCGTTGGAGAATGCGTAGCACATCAGGGTGCATCCACACATTATTAAAGGTCAAAGGGCTTTAAAGCAGTGCAATCATTTTGAAATTTTTATCATTTACTTATTATGCTTCATTAAGTACTTATACAAAATTTTATTAAAATAAAACCATTTAAACTGGGTGTTCGGATTTATATGTCACTTAGTATATCTCGATAATAATGATATCTTAGAGAAAAGTTCATAGATGCTTTAAAACGACCCAAAAATCCAACAAAAAAAACTTTGTAGATCATAAACCACTTTTTGGAGCTTGTTTAAACAATGAAATGACGCAGTTTTGGGACTGACATGTAGATTCGTTTAAAGGGTCCTTTTGAATAAAATTACCCAAAAACCAAATCTGAATACTTTTCCGAGTGGCTGTGAAGATACTTCCTGTACTATAACGGAACTTGCTCTTCTCAGATCTCTTTCTTAATACCACCGAAACTTTGTTTCTAAAAATTTTCAATCGACTGTTTATGTAGAGAACCCTGTATGTCAGTTGGAATCCAGAAGGTGAAGCCCCTAAGTTTTCAATAACGAACATTGACGAATTGCATAAACACATTATCTACGCATTATTCAACAAACAATCGGAAATGAAACAGATCTGAGACTAATGTAAAGACAAATCTAATAAAAGTAAAGCCCTTGAAAAGAACCAACGGCAATGACTTCTAGATTTACCATCAGACACATTCTGGTACAGTCGAATCATTCTTACTCAGCATTAGGTGCATACGTTTTTTTTTACGTAAAACCAAATTAAAATATACGAAAAAATAAATTGAATAGCCACAGATGGCTTGACCATATTTTAATCTTTAGACGGTGAAGGTTAACTTTGTTGAGATCAATAGTTTCAATGAAAAATCTATGACCTTATCAGAGGTATAGTTGAATAATTATAGTGCCATATGTCTATCGTATATGGTGGCAAATATAAATTGTAAATGTTAACTTCTTGTTCAGACGTCAGTAGCGTAGATAATTGATTTCCGTGAAACTTTTTGCTGATTGGGTAACAAAGAAAACGGTCAACATGTTTGTTATAATAACTAGTAATTAAAATCGGGGTTCCTCATGACAAACGCCATAAAAAAAATCGCTTCCTATAGAAATATATTTTGATATGATTTTACTTCCCAGGAAGTACTGCAGTCACGAAAAATTAAGAAAGTTTTTTATATTTACGTTACTACAACGCCTAGAATAGAAAATTGTAGGTTTTGAAAACCGATTCAGTGGCGGCGAAGCTAGGGACAAAGATCGAAGGAAAACCTCAAACGTGTCAGCGCTGCTGATCATTTTCACAAAAAAAAAAAAATGTAGAAGTTGAAAATTGGAGTTGACTGCTATAGGCGGTAGGGGGTTGGACTGGTGCATATTTGGTATCGTGGCAGAAGTCTTATTATTCACAAATTTGTGGTCTAGGTAGAATTCTCAACTGTGACTCCAACAACTACTCAGAAATACGCGATATCCTTTACCCGCGGTGGGTCCGATCCGAATTTAGCGAGTCGGCGCTGCCCCAGGCTGCAGTGTGAACGAAGTCGTCGACGACGCGCGACGATTTAACGATACCAGTTCGCACGAAACCACGGATTCGGGAAAAATACGCTCCATTATTTTTTATTTATTTTGGAAGACCCTTTTGCAATTTCATTTAACGTATTTTCTGGAAGCCTATACAATGCAACTCAATAACAAAAACAAATGAATTTTATTCCAATATATTTACATAATTCTCATTTACCAAAGCGTGAAGAAAACGGTTATAATCAATTAAGAACAAAGGATACAAAGAGCAGTGATCGACCATCTCTTGTTATCCAACTTGTTCATATAATTTATTCTTTCACATAATGATCATATGTAAATGGCGACAGCAAGGTTAAACAAGAAAAAATCTTCGAGCACTTACTCAGCAGTTATTAAAATTTCACAGTGACGTACTTTTGGAACGCACAACAGGATTTTTGCAATTACACACATTTATGGTAATGAGTATATTATTACATCGTTAGGAGCTTTTATCAAGATTTTTTTATGGATAAATAAATTAATTGCATATCATTTTTGGTTCCAAGGACACTAATTGTGCGGGAATCTATTGTCTGCTATTAATTTGGCGACAATATTTGCAGTTTAGCGTTTCTAAACTTGCTAGACTCCGAACCACTGGCCTAACGAGGTGGAAAATGATTTCAAGTCCGAAAACTAATCATCCAGAACAATATCCGGATCTCAGGCCAATTACTTTATTATGCTTTCTATCAAAAATACTCGAAAGAGCTGTCTACTCACTACTAGTGGAGTTTTTCGAACAAAATCACTTATTTCCTCTACATCAGTCAGGTTTCAGAGCTGGTTACAGCACTACTTCGTCTTTGTTACATCTTACTGATTCCATCATTCACAATTTAGATAATCACATCAACACCGTCTTGGTACTGTTAGATTTGTCGATAGCCTTTGATATGGTTAATCACCAGATACTACTGAGTAAGTTATCTCATTATGGAATGTCAGATATAGTTCTAAGGTTCTTTGAGTCATACTTGCTAAATCGTCAACAAACAGTGAAAACTGATCAGGGAATTTCCTCCTCTGAGCCAGTTCCTTCAGGAGTTCCTCAGGGCTCAGTATTAGGTCCCTTACTATATCTGATTTATACGATATACTGTAGTATGCAAACTTATGCAGATGATACTCAGTTAGTGTTTGGTTTCGATCCACCATAGGTTGATGAAGTTTCTTCTAAAGTTAATTTAGATTTGGCTAACATCAGTGATTACTGCAACAAACACTGCTTGAAGATCAATCCTAATAAAACTACTGCAATGTTGTACTGTTCGAAGAACTCCTACCGTGAAATGAAGCAGAGGATTTGTGTTGTTTTGGATGAGACACTCATCCCTTTTGTGGATTACGCCAAGAATCTCCGTGTTACCCTTGACTTAAATATGAGATTCGATCGGCATGTCTCTTTCTTATCTAGGGTAACGTACATGCGTTTGAAACTCCTCTATTCTAATCGATTCATCTTGAATTTTAAAACCCGAAAAAGGCTCGCTGAAAGTCTTGTGTTGCCTGTCATTTCTTACTCTCTTGTTCTTTATTACCCATGTTTAGACTACGTCCACAAAAGGGAACTCCAGAAAATTCAGAACAGCTGTTGTAGGTTTATTTTGGGATTGCGCAAGTTTAGTCGCGCCTCAGATAAAATCAAAGAACTCAACTGGTTGCGAATTGATAAGTTATTTTTATATCTTTTAACCGTCTTCACGCATAAAGTTCTATTATCTAACAGACCAGCTTACCTCGCTAGCAAATTAGTTCACCGAGGTAGTTAGGTTACCAGAGCTCTTAGATCTAATGCTAATTTTAACATGCCTCCTCACAATACCTCGGTCTTTGAAAGCAGTTACACCTATAATGCTGTCAAGCATTACAATGCAGTCAACAGTGGCTATCGATCCAAACAGGTTGCTTCTTTTAAGAAATTAATGAAAAGTCAGATGCTGGAGTCCATTTAGTTCAGTTTTTCTTGTGTTCATGTGCTTTTTTTTTTGTTTGACTATTTTCTCTATTTTGTTTCAAATTTAAAACTCTCGCAATACTATCTGCATTTGTCTCGTGCAATCAATGTTGTCATTCTTATGAATTGTATTTTTTTTGGTATATTATTTTGTTTATGTGTTTAAGTATTCTTTTTTCCTGTTCCAGCTAATAAAGGCATTATTATTATTATTATTATTATTATTATTATTATTATTATTATTATTATTATTATTTCCTCTGCGCACCACACTGACTGGTTCAAAAAAAAACTTCATATGTTTCCGAGGTCGCTGATAACGAATATGATTAAACCATTTATCAAAAATCAAAACATATAGTTAGCTGGCGTCAAACTAACAAATTCAAATGATTGAATACAAAAAAACACCCGATTTGGTTTGGACTAGCCCGCTCAAGGGGTGTAAGGTACATACAGGGTGGCCCAAGGATGAGGTTGCACCTTCATTTGTGTCTTTCCTGGTATATTTTGGGAAAAACGCTCTAACACACGTAATAAGCAATTAGAGATTCTCAAAAACTACTTGACTAATCTACTACAATTTTGTTGTGGTTATTTAGAAGTACGAATTTGAAGAATTTCAAATATCAGCGAAAAACCATCGTCGCATTACCAACAAGTGCCAAAACCTGCAGTTTGCCTCCGTGTTTGGCCATAACTTTTTGCTATTAATCGGATCTTTTTACGGGTAGTCTCATTTTGTACGTCTCGTAAATACCTAAAAATCTTATAGGAACAGTTTTATCGTTCCTACCAACACTTTCGATTGAATCCCAACAGACACGTTTCCTCATTCTTTGTTGTCGAATAAAAATTTTTCCCACAAAAATTGGTGTACCCATTTTATGCGTTCATGTTTTGAATACCCCCTTGAACAACTCGCAGCAATAAAACCAGACTTTACCATTATTTCTCAAACCAGGGGTATTTTCATCTTATATGATTAGACTATATCAAATAAATCCGAACTCGGACCACCCAAATTGTATATACATTTCATAGGCTAATTGATAATAGCAGAATGATAAATATATGTAAATTGAGTCTGGAAGCATGCTGCCATATAACTTTATTTCAGGCCAATAACTTCTGGTGGGTGGATTCATTGAGTTGGATCCATTTTCTATAGAAGCAAATTAAGACTTGCTGATTTTTCCATAAATCTAGGCACCTTATTTATGTTTTTGTATGTTATCATGGAAACCGTTGTACGTGTAGTACAGTGGAAAACAAATGCAATAGGATAATATTGGAGCAACTTCTGGACGTATACTTGATTCAATGCTCAAACTACAAAGCTTTGACTAATTCCTATATCTACACCGCCTTTTATATTAATTTTCGTTGTGTAGCAATCACCATTTATCTCGTTCCATTCCCATTCTTTGCATCATAGTAATTTTGCACACATGCACGCAAAAACACAGCTGGCTGGCTTTAATTTCTTCTGACTTTTGTGAGAGACTTATATATGCCGAGTCCAACGTTTACATTGCAAAATAGCGGGGTTTTGACTCATTCGTCGTAAGAAGTATCGTGTCTAACACTATAATTATCTGCTACCACACGCACTTCTAAAAATCAACACTAAAAATACGCATTGAATGTCAAAACTGTCAAAAATTGACTTATGTCAAGTCAGTGGCGGCTCGTGGCAAAATAAAACAGGTGTTCTGCAAATGCGAACTTACCTATTTTTTATATGTCAGTTCGATTCTGCGCTCCTTCTTGGCAGGAAATTTGTCGATCACCTTCCCGTTGAAATTTTCCATGGTCGAAATAAATTCCTTTTCAATGGACAGCATCGACAACGCTGTAAGGCGATCCTGTCATAGTATTTCGAAGAAAAGTCTTGATTCTTTTCAATGGTGAGAAATTTCGCTCAGCCTCTGATGTTGACATAGGAGTTGTAACAATAATTTTTAATAGCTTTTTTGTTTCTTTTAGTGTTTCTTCCAAACTATTTTGTATCAAGAATTTCAAAAGAGACGGAGTTCCATGTAAATCTCGGCAATCATTCCGTGCATAAATAACAGACAACTCTGGCTTTAAACGGCTTTTTTCTAACTCGGGATAAGCCAAGCAGGTAGTTTCCAACTTGTGATCAGGAAACTTACCAAAGTATTCCCCAAAGTGTTCGGAAAAAAATGGTATGCGGCTACCAAATCTTTGAATTGAAATCTGTCATTTGCAGAATTCACTATATTGTCGCATACTTCTAATGCAGCAACTCGGTGATCGTGACTGCTATTATTACGTCGTCTCCTTTTGTTGCCTTGGGGTTCAGTGCAAATTGTTTTGGCTTCATTTGTTATGTCATCTATTTTATTTCTCACATCGACAATACCACAAGCTGCCTTGCAAACGGTTTCATTAGTGACATTTTCTTCTATTTCTTCCATGAATTCAATGAGTGATTCTCTGTTCTCAAACACTACATTTATTGTTCGAATATTAAAATTCCAGCGAGTTGTTGCTCCATGGGGATTTTTTTTCCCCACAATTCTGTTCAGTACATCTACGCGTTGAGGAGAATTATTAAAAAATCCCGGAATATCTTTCAAATCCCCAAAGAACACCGCATTTGATTTTGTAGAGAGAGACAAAAGCAAGCGCGTGCGACCTGTGTCGAAGTAGTGCACAGATCCTTTTCAAGTGGCCCATGAATAATGTTACGCTGCGGTCGCGACGAAAATGACAAGTACACAATTGGTCGATTATAATGCTGCAAAACAGACTCGACGCCGTGTCTTGCGGGGCAGGCCGGTATTGTTTCCATTTGCGTGATAACATGGAAAATAAACAACGATCAAATTACTACTGCTTTTTTCTGTTAAGACAAATGTTTTGGCAGTTCTGCAGCTCTGCAGAACTTAAGGGCCAGCTACCCGTGTGTCAAGTACACTTTGATTCTCACTACAAACTATGAGAATTAAGAGACAAACGTCTTCATGAGACAAACAAATCCTTAACTGGGACCTTTTATATATTCTGAATTCTTCGGCTGATTCAAGCTTATACTTTCTTTTTGGAACACAAACCAGTACAGGCCATATTTCTGAATCTTAAAATGAGATGATAAACAGATTTTTTGGAATCTAACCACTAGATAAAATGTATTGCTGCTAATGTTTTGAAACGCGAAATATCAGTACTAGAGAACAGAGCTTGAGAGGTACCAAGTTGTATCGGATATTCACTATTATATCTACTCGTTTCTCTCACACATCAGGAGGAAATATGTCCGGCCAGCCTTGTATAAAGAATCGCACTGACTAACTAGATTTTACGAATCAAATTAATAATGTTCCACCAAATTAACGTTTTAGACCTACCCGCAACCCGTAATGATGATTCGTGAATTCTATTGTAGTCTCTGGCAGAGATTCGTTAGGGGACAGTCTTGTAGTTTACACGAGAATGATAAAGATGGTGGCACACATGTATGTTCTATCGAACGTTGTTACTAACACGACCGTACTAATTATCGTTATGTTTCAGAATGCTGCTACCCATAAGAACGCGACTGACAAGAAAGATTTTAAGCTGACGTGGAAAGCACCTGGAGGCGCTGGGAAATACACTGTCTAGTAAGTATTTAGAAAAAATGTATATAAAAAAATGAGAAAGTATTACAAACACGGGTCTGGAAATTCTTTGCTTCCATGATGCAGGATGCCTAAGCCTGTATTTATACTAAGTGACAAATAAATCCAAACACCCAGTTTAAATGGTTTTATTTTAATAAAAGTTGTTGAATGTATTTATCTTACTGTAAATAACAAGTGAAAAAATGTTCAGCCTTATCAGTTGGACATTCCGGTTTTTATACTGCTTTTTTTTAATTCACTAACGCTCTAAAAATGAATATTTCAGCCGCAGTAAAGAGTCAACATTGGCGGATTTTGGTTCTTGACATCCTTTACGATCGGTTACGATGCCTAGAGTACGGAGACCTGTACGATTTGGTCAGTGAGTTTGATAGGGGCCGTATAGTGGGACTTCGGGAAGCTGGACTTTCTTTTCGGACAATTGCAGTTAGAGTGCAAAGAAGTCTAGACACTGTGGTTAGGTGTTGTCAGGCATGGCTTCGAGAAGGCCGTACGCAAAGAGCAAGGGGCACTGGACGCCGCCGTAGAACAACAGACCGTGAAGATCGCCGCCTAAGATTATTGGCCTTAAGGGACCGTTTCTCCACTACCAGGTCCATTGCAAATGAATGGTTTGCAGAACACGGAAGACCTATTGGCATGCGAAGCGTTTACTGACGAATGAGAAGTTTTGGCTTGTTTTCATACCGGCCACACTGGGTCCTCCCTTTAACTCGAGAACACCGACGTAATCGCCTTGAGTGGTGCAGACAACGGTCACTCTGGGATCAGGAAAGGAACAGTATTGTCTCTAGTGACGAGTCTCGATTTTGTTTAGGCATGCACGATGGTCGTGCCAGGGTTAGAAGGCGACGTGGTGAAAGGAGGAATCCACAGTTTTTTGTTGAAAGACATGTTCATCACACTGTTGGAGTTATGGTTTGGGGTGCTATAGCTTATGGTTCCAGGTCACCTTTAATCTTCGTTAGAGGTAACATGAACGCGCAGCGTTATATCCACGAAATTCTAGAACCCCATCTTTTACCCTATCTTGACACCCTGCAGATCCAACTTTCCAACAAGATAATGCCCGACCACATGTTGCAAGAGTCACAATAGACTTCTTTCAACATAATGATGTCACATTGTTACCATGGCCACCAAGATCTCCCGACTTATCCCCAATTGAGCACGTGTGGGATATGATGGGTAGGAGATTGCTCAATTTGCAACGTCCTCCTCAGACTCTAGAAGCACTTCGAGAGGAGTTGGTGGTTGCCTGGAATGAGATACCACAGGAGGACATTGACCACCTGATCAGAAGCATGCCTAGGCGCGTTGGAGAATACGTAGCACATCAGGGTGCATCCACACATTATTAAAGGTCAAAGGGCTTTAAAGCAGTGCAATCATTTTGAAATTTTTATCATTTACTTATTATGCTTCATTAAGTACTTATACAAAATTTTATTAAAATATAACCGTTTAAACTGGGTGTTCGGATTTATATGTCACTTAGTATATGTTTAGCGAATGAATTGAGGTAGGTTTTAAGTAGTTTTTAAGTAAAACAAACTTAGTTTCAAGTTATCGATAAATTTTTTACAAAGCTGGAGTGCTTTAGAGAACAATTTTATACATATTAATCTAACCATCAGTAATGGGTTTGCGTATACCAAAAATTCGTCATCCATGGACGCCCGCAGGATTTTTCTCAGGAAGAGCCAATACTCGCTAAAGTTGGGTACAAAAGCATACTAAACATGCAAAGATTAGGATCTAACCAAAAATCCACGGGTCACGGTGGAAGCCCCTTCGTAACCCCTCTGGCACCCCTCCCGGCGCCCATGTCATTATCTTAATCGGTTTTCGATAAATATACAGGGTGATTCACAAGTCGTGACCAAAAGCGAAACATCGTACGTACGACCGCATTTTAAGGGAGGTCTTCTATGTATCATTTTTTCCTCGAGGGCGATACGGGATGTTGAAGTTTAAACATAAAAATCATTTTTTTAATATCTTCAAAACCGGGAATAAACTAAAATTTGGTATGTGGATTTGCCTAAGTATTGTTCTTGTTCAAAAGTGTTTACTTAAAATTGACGTACACCAGTGACGGAGATACATAGGGCGAAGTGTTCTTAAATTATATTTGAAAAATTTCATATTCCCTTTTCTTTTCAGTGCTACTGTAGCTGAAGATGGCGGCACTTTCTGGGTCAAGAAACCAACGGAAGTCATCTCTGTTGCCTAATCATTTTTTATACTTTGTAAATAAAACTTTGCATATAGATTTGATGGAATATTGTAGATACCTGTATTGGTATATGTGACTGTACTTTATAGATTTTTTTAATAAAAATAGCTAAGATAGTCAAACTTTTCTTTTCGGATCTTTTACCAGACTGTAAAGCGATGATTTAATAATTATTATTCAATGTATTAAACATACCAGATAATACAAAACGTTTTTGATACAAAGGGGCGTTTGAGACTATTGACAAGGATAAATTACTTGCAAAATTGCATGACTACGGATTCAAAGGATCTGTATTCAAAATTCTACAAAACTATTTAATTGCCAGAAGTCAGAAAAGCAAAATCAAGATGAAAAAATATTTCTGTTGGTATACCACAAGGTAGTAAACTAGGTCCACTACTATTTATTTTATACATTAATGACATTTGTAATATTTTAGATTATTGTAAACTTCAGATATTTGCAAATGATACCTTAATATACATATCGTATGAAAATATAGACACTGCTTTAAAAATGGTAAATTCTGACTTGGAAAAGATCGTAAATTGGTTAAATGTAAATAAACTAAAATTGAATACGTCTAAAACAAAATGTAGGCTAATAGGGCAATACCTAAATGAAAATACTATCACAGTTAGGATAAATGGAGAAATAATCGAAAATGTTGAATCAATTAAATATTTAGGTATATACAGGGTTATCCAAATTAAGTGTCCACCATTAGTAACTTTGTTATTAGTGAAAATACAAAGTTGTTTGAATTAGCAAACTAGTAGCATTTTTAACGCTGGTAAAAATGAGAAATAAAAAATAACAATTGAGAGTCGTTATTTTGATTTTCAGTAAAATAACATTTTTTTAAATGGAAACCCCTGTATATTATATTTTTTCTGTTAAAGCATCAAATTTTAAACAAAAAAGTTCATAATGACTTTTGCGCTAAAGTCAAAAATAAAGTCAAAATAACGATAAATATTTTTAATTATTTGCAGTATTATAATATTAAGACGGCTATGAAAACAACATGGCGTTCGCGATTTGACAGCATTAAGATAAGCGACAAATTGTTAAACTGGACATACTCGCAACTAGAAGGCTTTGGAAAACAATGATAAAATCAAATAATGTCAAACATTAGTGTAAATACTTGTTTATAAGCTTTATTGTGTCATTAATTTAAAGAAAAATGTTCTCCCATGAAGAAAAGTGTGATATGTTAGAATGCTATTTAGTGTGCAGAAAATCCTCCTTGAGAGCAAGAGAATACCACAGTGAATTATATCCCGCTCGCATTCAACCGTATGAACGATATTTTCTGAGACTTTATCGAAAATTTAGGGGCAACGAAAATGTTTTTGCTAAAACAAGGGCAAAAAAAGAATTCATAATAAGCGAGGCCACGGAAATTGCAGTTATTGGATATTTTGAAGCTTATCGTGAGAATTCAATAGCAGATATTCTCAAGGACTCTAATTTCAGTTATGGTACTGTTCAAACGATTTTAAAAAAATACAAATTTATTCCGTATAAGTACCCACCAGTTCAAACGCTTTTGGCAGGGGATCCAGAGAGAAGACTTGTTTTTTGCCATTGGTATCTTAGCTTCTGTCGCCAAAATGTAAATAACTTTCGTTACCTTTTATGGACAGATGAATCAAATTTTTCAAATTCTGGAATGTTTAATAGAAAAAACCACCATTATTGGTCAAGAGAAAATCTTTTGTTAGTACATCCAAGAGGCCCACAAGTCCGTTTCAGTTTCAACGTTTTTTGCGGTATAATTGGTTCAAAAATTGTTGGCCCGTTCTTTTATGAGGGAACCCTAACTGGTGAAAGATATGTGGAATTTATGTCAGAAATTCTGACTAATTTCTTAGACGAATTGGATCTTATAAGTAGACATCATCTGCATTTTCAGCAAGATGGCGCACCTGCCCACAACTCCAGAGGTACTTATCATTTTCTAAGTACTACTTTTAATGATCAGTGGATAGGAACAAATGGCCCAATACAGTGGCCTCCCAGATCACCAGATCTAAACCCACTTGATTACTTCTGTGGGGTTACTTAAAGAACCAAATTTACAAGCGAAGGTACGATAACCTTGACGCGTTAAAGACTGCAGTTAGGGAAAAGATAACCCAGATAGATGGTAGGACCATACTTAAGACAGTTCGAGCAGTTGAAAAACGTGCCCAAAAATGTATTGAAGAACAAGGTGGTGTTTTCGAGCATCTTCTTTAAAAAAAATTGTTATAGTATTTTGTGAGATTATAAGTTGATGTTGAAAATAAAGTTTGTCGATACAATTTAATTGTTTCAGATTGGAGGCCATAACTTCAACAATTTGTAACCTAGGAGAAAAGTTATTGTAAGCTTTTTTGTTTAAAATTTGATGCTTTAACAGAAAAAAATATAATATACAGGGGTTTCCATTTAAAAAAATGTTATTTTACTGAAAAAAGTCAAAATAACGACTCTCAATTGTTTTTTTTATTTCTCATTTTTACCAGCGTTAAAAATGCTACTAGTTTGCTAATTCAAACAACTTTGTATTTTCACTAATAACAAAGTTACTAATGGTGGACACTTAATTTGGATAACCCTGTATATATTGATAGTAAACTAAAGGTTAAGGATCACTATGAATAAATTATTTCAAAAATTGCCAAAAAATTAAACAAATTACTTTTATAGGGCTTCTCATAGTCTTGGTACCTATTCCAACAAAATATATAGTTTATAACATAATTATTCTAGCGCATTTACTATATTCTTCAACTATCTTGTTCACTGCCAATGAAGCTCAAAATTACAAGCCTTGAAAAATAAAGCTATGAGAATAATATTGGATAAAAATAAGTAAATCAAAATAAAATCTATGTTACAAGAATTGCAGTGCTTGAATATAAAAAATTTCATATCATAGATGCAAATTTTTCTTTCTAAAAATGTATGTTAAGTTATGTAATTGTTTAGTTATGTAGAAGAATGTAATTGCAGCAATCATGCTAAATAAATCTAAACAAACAACATTTTGGACCAAACAACATCCAGATTTATCAGTAGGCGTCCTCTTTGATTAAACTCATACAAAACTGAATATTTTTCTGAGCGGACGCGAAGATACATCCTGAGCTAATTGGCATTGTAGGAAAGATAATCTAAAATTGAGCTTCTGATTGCCACAAAGCATAGATATCTTTTGTGACCATTTGTATGGGGTTGATCTTCTAATCGATTTTATATGTCGTTGTTATGACAACAAGTAAATAATCCCTAGATGCGTCAACGGTGACTTTGTCCCACATCCGTCTATTTGAAGGATGCCAAAAGGTACTTCGTGTGGTCAGAAAATTGAAGAAAAGGTCTAACGGAGGAAAAAAATCAGTTTCACAGTAACGTGTGTCATTACAACTGAAAAAAGTGTATATAGTAACGATCTAGTACCACAAGAGGAGTAGGTTTCTGAGTATAGAAAAATGAGGCACCTTCAGTAAGCAGACACATCTTTGGGTTCGGTTAGTAAGATATTATAGAAAAGTAAGAAAATATGATAGATAAAAGTTGAATGGAAAATATTGTTAGTAGACTTAATTTTAGATGTGTGCATCTTCATCTACGATTCCAATACGATTATTACAAATTTTAAACAAGCCTCAATTTTGAGCGTTTTCTCCTAAGCTTTTTTTGAAGATAAGCATGCCAAATATTGTAAGAAATAAGATTTTCAGCGACATTTTGGATGGCAATTCATGAAGAGATCAAAGAATTGATCTAATTTTTAGGCAAACTAACGGGTGATTCATTAAAAAAACAAACTATATCGGGTTATCTTTGTTATAAAAGCAAAGAAACCTTCTTTTTGAAGAGTATTTCTTCAAAATGAAGATGTGGTCTTTTCTGAAATTCCAATTTTCGATGACCTTCAAGTATTTCTGGCGGTATCTGGCGACTGTTATCACACCATGATAACACATTATTTGCTACCTTGAAATTCAAGTCCGCAGTTTTTGGAATATTTGTTTTTTTATAACGAAGCAGCCGCTTAGACAGAAACCTAAATTCCAGGGCACAATGATTGCTATGAGATGCTTAAAGGAATTTACTTAATCCGATTTTTGAACATTCTCAAAGGTTAATAGAACTCTGGTAGATTGTGCCACAGTCTCGATACGCTAGAGACAAAGGAACGACCGTATCGGCCAGCTCTGTTCGACACGGTTAGAATGGGAAGCCAAAGTCAGGCGGGTCTGCCTTGCAGGCAGATTGCAGGAGGGCCCCGAGGAGCAAAGCCCGTTGACATATCGGTAGGAGAGAGCTAGATCGCCGAAGGGTTGTCATCGATCAGTCGAACAGCCCTTCTTTAAACAGCATCAAGCACGGATAATGTAGTCGGGGCGGCAGTACCCCAAAAATGTGAGCAGTACTCGAGGGATATCTGGGCCTTGTATACTAAGTGACATATAAATCCGAACACCCAGTTTAAATGGTTTTATTTTAATAAAAGTTGGTGAATGTATTTATCTTACTGTAAATAACAAGTGAAAAAATTTTCAGCCTTATCAGTTGGACATTCCGGTTTTTATACTGTTTTTTTTTTAATTACGATCGGTTACGATGCCTAGAGTACGGAGACCTGTACGATTTCGTCAACTTAGTGAGTTTGATAGGGGCCGTATAGTGGGACTTCGGGAAGCTGGACTTTCTTTTCGGGCAATTGCAGTTAGAGTGCAAAGAAGTGTAGACACTGTGGTTAGGTGTTGTCAGGCATGGCTTCGAGAAGGCCGTACGCAAAGAGCAAGGGGCACTGGACGCCGCCGTAGAACAACAGACCGTGAAGATCGCCGCCTAAGATTATTGGCCTTAAGGGACCGTTTCTCCACTACCAGGTCCATTGCAAATAAATGGCTTGCAGAACACGGAAGACCTATTGGCATGCGAAGCGTTTACCGACGAATGAGAAGTTTTGGCTTGTTTTCATACCGGCCACACTGGGTCCTCCCTTTAACTCGAGAACACCGACGTAATCGCCTTGAGTGGTGCAGACAACGGTCACTCTGGGATCAGGAATGGAACAGTATTTTCTTTAGTGACGAGTCTAGATTTTGTTTAGGCATGCACGATGGTCGTGCCAGGGTTAGAAGGCGACGTGGTGAAAGGAGGAATCCACAGTTTTTTGTTGAAAGACCTGTTCATCATACTGTTGGAGTTATGGTTTGGGGTGCTATAGCTTATGGTTCCAGGTCACCTTTAATCTTCATCAGAGGTAACACGAACGCGCAGCGTTATATCCACGAAGTTCTAGAACCCCATCTTTTACCCTATCTTGACACCCTGGCAGATCCAACTTTCCAACAAGATAATGCCCGACCACATGTTGCAAGAGTCACAATAGACTTCTTTCAACATAATGATGTCACATTGTTACCATGGCCACCAAGATCTCCCGACTTATCCCCAATTGAGCACGTGTGGGATATGATGGGTAGGAGATTGCTCAATTTGCAACGTCCTCCTCAGACTCTAGAAGCACTTCGAGAGGAGTTGGTGGTTGCCTGGAATGAGATACCACAGGAGGACATTGACCACCTGATCAGAAGGATGCCTAGGCACGTTGGAGAATGCGTAGCACATCAGGGTGCATCCACACATTATTAAAGGTCAAAGGGCTTTAAAGCAGTGCAATCATTTTGAAATTTTTATCATTTACTTATTATGCTTCATTAAGTACTTATACAAAATTTCATTAAAATAAAACCATTTAAACTGAGTGTTCGGATTTATATGTCACTTAGTATATTTTAATAAGATGACACATTTTAACAATTCTGTCTATGTGGTGTGAGTAAAGAAAGTATGATTAGGAATCAGTTATTTTCCAAAAATACCGCTCCAAATGCACGGACATGTTATAAAAAATTGGAATTAAAAAATTATAAAAATAATTTTCAAAAAGTGAACCACGTTGATGCCAATTTTGTTTGATAATAAAGGTAATTCATTGATAATTGTTTATGCTTTTGGAAAAAGCACATTTGAATGAATCACCAGTTACAATTACAGTCCACTTTTCAACACAACTGATCGACTGGGCTATATTGGTATTTCAGACATGGCGTCTGGCAGAGATGTTGAACGGGATCGGCTGATAAAAAAGATAACAGAGAAAAGAGCTAAACTAGAAGCTAGAGGAGATCTAAATATTAAGGTCCGAAGGTTGTCTTTGCCGGAAGATTTTAACATAAATGACAGGTCGATATTTTCACTGCCACCCGAGCTTCTTAAGCCGATTCTGGCTTCTTCGCATCCGAAGTACAGGAAGAAGCTTGCGGCTGAGAAGAAGAAAGGTAGTGTATGCAAAGTGAATCTTTATATTACTGGGAAGAATTAAGGGATCGAATGTGAATTTTTAGTGATACTTTGGAGTGTTGTATGTCAGTAAAAGATGGCCTTGTTGAGCTTCTGCGGTAAGCATTTCAAAGCCTCAAATGTCGAGCTTTTGGATCTTTTAGTCAAAAAAATTTGAAACTGCTGATTCCACGCAAAAAACTGTGGATACAAAAAATTTTTATACCTTTATTCAGGTCGATGGACTTGGAAAAATGTTTTCGCTAGGGTCAAGTGGTGCAAAAACGAGACGACTTTTAAATCTTTTAATTTTTTGTCAACAAAAAACCGGACTTTAAGACTTTGTTATATTGCCCTGTATATAGAAAGCCATGTAGTATACCTCACGTTAAAAAAAGTTCATAATATTCATAATGAAGGGCGTTTTTGTTAAAAAACCGTGTCTCGTTTTTAACCACTATTTAGGCTATAAATGAGACAGTGAGAGGTTAAAAACAAGTCACTGTATTTTCTGGCCTTTTAGCCATTTTACATCAGTGTGGCAAAATATGAGACGCTGGGTAATAAAAACGAGACACACTGCAAGGGTTTTAAAGCGTTTACTAAGTCAAATAACATAAAGTCAACGCCAAACAAAGTGGCGTGCACGTCATCAAGGTGGGTGTGTTGAAAAATTTACATTGTTGCCAAACTTTTTGTAAAATAATAAAATTTATTATTTACATACCTAGGTTTATAAGCAATATTAACCTCAAATGAGAACAAAAATAATAGTATAATAAAATTATAGATCTGTACTTGCATAATCATTAAGTATGACAATTATTGATCAGATGACACTATGAAACTACCATATTTAATTGATAGCTTAAAGGTACTGAATAAAAATCCAAATGGGGTCCTCCAAATTTTATGCATGGTATTTATTTTACAGAATTCATACAGAAAAATGCATTCTAAAATTAGGTAAGCTACTGGTGTAAGCTTTTTCTGTACAATAAAGTTAGTCGGAGTTTCTTTCTTCAGCGCTGTCTGAATCTGAATCTTCATCACTCTCAAAGTTGATTATTAAAGGTTCGATGTCTGGTCGATCAAAAATTCGTTCTCTTTCATACCATTTAAAAATTTCTTGCTCAGTATGTCAAACACTATTTTTCCACATGTCTGGGGTAACCGTTTGTAGAGCCTCGTTCCACATATCCAAACAGTCCTTTTCACTGTTACCATCTCTACCAATATGTCTGTTATAGTAACCTTTGCTATGCCCCAAATTAACTCAATAGGGTTAAATATACAATGGTAAGGAGGCAGACGAAGAACTTTGTGCCCAGGTTGTTCCGCCAATTCATCAATCACGTATATTTTAGGTGGTTTGTTTCTAAAAAAGCAGTTATTTTAAGAATAGGAATAAACAAAAGAAATATAAACTGTCGACCAAAATATATATAATTAAGAAGCATTATGTACCGAGCAACAATACTCAATAGCTCTGTTTTAAACATTGTGTTTAAAAATGGTATGTTTTGATTTTTCAACCAGTCTTGGATATTTTTTTTGTCCATGCATTGTTGGGCACTTTGTTCAATATCATGCTGTGATAAAGGGCGTTATCCAGTATAATCATAGATGGACTGTCCAATTTTTCTAATAACTGATGTTGAAACCATTTCAAAAAATTGTCCTGGTTCATCTCTCCATGGTAATCGCTCAATTTTGTTTTCGAAGAAAATATCGCTTCACTACCCTCAATAAACCCATTTTCATTTCCAGCATGTAATATAATGTATCTAAAATATATTAGTTTTAAATTTTATAGTGCAAATTGTGTAAAAGTACATACCTTTTACCATCTGTTTTAATAGCTTTCACGCTTTTTTGGTTTCCATTTTGCCAAGAGCGACCTATGGTCCCATTTTGAAATATCCAAGTTTCATCGAGGAAGACAAACTGGTATAAGGCCTCAACCTTGGCTTGATTGTATTGCCTTAGAAATTCCACCCTTTTCAAAGCTATACTTGGTAGTTCCATGAGCCCTCGTCGCGGATTGTCCTTAAGCCACTTAAATCCAAGATCTCTAAGCAACCGCCTTAAAGACGTGGCACTACCATCAAATAATGCCCTATCTCTTAATCGAGACCATAAAGTTTGTATCGTAACTTGTTCTTCTGAAACCATGTGTAATATGACATTATAATTTAGTTAACAAATTAATGCAAATTTCTGATAAGTTATTATAATAAGATCTTACTTTTGTGATACATATTATAGATTACTTCTCGAATGGCACTTGTATCCAATGTCGCTGTGTTGGTTACACGTTTAATATAACTCCGCTTTTTCTTGGGCGATTCTAAATTTGCATCACTTTTCACACCCTCGGAAATACGACTAACTGTCCTTAAACTAATTTTTAAAGCAGCAGCAACACGCTACAAAAAATGAAATAAAATTTCACTATTATTAATATACATTACATATAATTATTAGTAACCTACCTCTTGAACAGCATTTAAAGGCAACAAAGGCCCGTTGGTGTCCCTTTCTTGCTCAAAGTAGTGCATTAACGAGGCCACGAGTTCCTTACACCGACTATTTAACTGTTTGGGCATCTTTATATACCAAAATTGCCTTTATCTACTCGTAAAATGAATATGAATAATTTTGTTTTGAAACAAACAGTTGTTGATTTACAGTATGCGGGGCCAAAGGATTTATAAAGATTTGAAATGCCACAAATTGATTCAGTGTCAAAATTAATACAAATGTCAGTTCCCAGTTTAAATAAGTTTCAAGGTGACAATGTGTCAACGCTGCGAAATCGGTTTAGTGCGTTTACATGTCGATAAGTGATTGGAGCGTTTGCAAAACATTTTATTTCGCATAATGCGTCTAAATTTATCAGAAAGCAACTTATGTGATATTTTAATAACAATGTATATATGACTATTAACCATAATAAGAGAGTAATGACCATTTTACAATTTATATATCACATTAATATGAAACTGCAATAGAGCAATTGTTTGTGATAGAAACCTAGGCATTAGGTCGGGGAATTTTTATCGTGATGACGTGCACGCCACTTTGTTTGGCGTTGACTATAGTTAGGTTTTAAATTGTGACAACGTTCTTAAAGAAAACTCACATAATTAAATACAAAATTATTAAGCTAAAAAGAAAACAAATCCAAAAACAAGTTAAATAAACCATACCTAATTCAAAAAATGGGTAAAACAAGATTTTCAATACGATTTTAAGAGCTAAAGTAGAAAACTTATTATTCTAACGTATTTTGTACTACATATTGAACGACATATTTTTCAAAGTCGATAGGAAACCAATATTGCTGAGAGATACGACAGGTCTTACTTTCTATTTCTGGCTGGGGAAGTTTCATTTCTATGTCACTTTTGTCGATGAAGTACTTTTCCTCAATGTCCGGAAAAATAAATTTAAATCCTTTGCGCCTCAGATATCTTACTTCTAGATCGCTCTCAAAAACTTTAAGGATTTGTACCACGTAGTAAACTTGCGTTTTTTGTATTTTTTTGATTCAGTCTATTGCGCTTACGAAAATTTTTAAACCAATCTTTCCCGGGCTTTCCTTCCTTAAACTGGGTAGTACGGTGGTTTTCTTGTACATAGGTTTGAACTATTGCTTGTATCTCTGGTTTAGTAAGAACAAACCCCCATTTTGCCATAATTTTTATCTTATCACTTAAGTCTACTTCCATTTCTTTGGTTAGAGAAGTTTTTCTTCCCTGTTTACCAAGTGAACGAGTACGTCTTCTCGAAAGAGCAGATTTGTCAATTTTAAACTGTTTAGCTGCATTTCTAAGAGATAAAGTGTCATTATCTATTAGTTTTAGGGCTGTTTCCATGTTCTTTTTGTCGTAGGGGCGCTTTTTGGGAACGTAAACCTTCGGCATTATTATCAAAGGTATAAAAGCTGTCTTGTTTTTTACCTGGCAGGTGTTTTGTTTTTAAACTTTGTGGTGTCTCGTTTATGCACCTGTTATTCACGACGTGCCTGCTTGCCAACAAATAAAAATAGACTAAATTCGATATGGAATATCATAGCCGCATTTGTTATTTTGAAAACGCGATACTTGTCGAGTCTCTACGATCACGTACAGCGGCGTAACAGGAAAAGTTTGTAAATACAATTTAAAAGATTTTTTAAGCAAAATGAACAATCAGATGCGATAGTTTTTTTCTCGATGATTGTGTTTACGTTTACTTATTATTCATTACATATTTCAATTGTATATACGTGGAAGTAATTTGTAACGTATTTTTTACAATGTTATTGTTTTTTTGCATTGGGAAAAATTGAATGTCTTGTTTTTGACCGAAATTTCGGCTGTCTCATTTTTGCACCACTTGACCCTAAGTCAGTGCATAGATCCAAAAACTTGTTTATTTAGCTTCAGTTTGATTTTTTCAAAATCTCGATACCACCATTTTCTGCTAAGATATCGAATTTTTAATAAAAAGGCACTTTTTTGGCTTTGATCATCGATAACTCAGGAACCATTATTCTTACACAAAGTCTGATGGTGGTTTAAAAAACTTGGGATAGATTCTCTAAGAGAATCGATGATCATTTATGAAAACACACTTTTTCCGTCCTTCTTGTGCACTGGAATACAGGAATACCAAAGGCCAAATTGCAAATATCGACAAAAATGGTTAATTTTGGACATGACTTCTATAGCTCTGTGAAAATTTGCTTTGAATCATCCAGACGTTTCTTTGTTTTGAACAATCAAAGTTTCAAAAAAAATAGAAGGAACACTGGAAGACATTTATATACTAAGTGACATATAAATCCGAACACCCCGTTTAAATGGTTTTATTTTAATAAAATTTTGTATAAGTACTTAATGAAGCATAATCAGTAAATGATAAAAATTTCAAAATGATTGCACTGCTTTAAAGGCCTTTGACCTTTAATAATGTGTGGATGCACCCTGATGTGCTACGCATTCTCCAACGCGCCTAGGCATGCTTCTGATCAGGCGGTCGACGTCCTCCTGTGGTATCTCATTCCAGGCAACCACTAACTCCTCTCGAAGTGCTTCTAGAGTCTGAGGAGGACGTTGCAAATTGAGCAATCTCCTACCCATCATATCCCACACGTGCTCAATTGGGGATAAGTCGGGAGATCTTGGTGGCCATGGTAACAATGTGACATCATTATGTTGAAAGAAGTCTATTGTGACTCTTGCAACATGTGGTCGAGCATTATCTTGTTGGAAAGTTGGATCTGCCAGGGTGTCAAGATAGGGTAAAAGATGGGGTTCTAGAACTTCGTGGATATAACGCTGCGCGTTCATGTTACCTCTGATGAAGATTAAAGGTGACCTGGAACCATAAGCTATAGCACCCCAAACTATAACTCCAACAGTGTGATGAACATGTCTTTCAACAAAAAGCTGTGGATTCCTCCTTTCACCACGTCGCCTTCTAACCCTGGCACGACCATCGTGCATGCCTAAACAAAATTGAGACTCGTCACTAAAGACAATGTTCCATTCCTGATCCCAGAGTGACCGTTATCTGCACCACTCAAGGCGATTACGTCGGTGTTTTCGAGTTAAAGGGAGGACCCAGTGTGGCCGGTATGAAAACAAGCCAAAACTTCTCATTCGTCGGTAAACACTTCGCATGCCAATAGGTCTTCCGTGTTCTGCAAACCATTCATTTGCAATTTACCTGGTAGTGGAGAAACGGTCCCTTAAGGCCAATAATCTTAGGCGGCAATCTTCACGGTCTGTTGTTCTACGGTGGCGTCCAGTGCCCCTTGCTCTTTGCGTACGGCCTTCTCGAAGCCATGCCTGACAACACCTAACCACAGTGTCTACACTTCTTTGCACTCTAACTGCAATTGCCCGAAAAGAAAGTCCAGCTTCCCGAAGTCCCACTATACGGCCCCTATCAAACTCACTCAGTTGACGAAATCGTACAGGTCTCCGTACTCTAGGCACGTAACCGATCGTAAAGGATGTCAAGAACCAAAATCCGCCAACGTTGATTCTTTACTGCGGCTGAAATATTCATTTTTAGAGCGTTAGTGAATTAAAAAAAAGCAGTATAAAAACCGGAATGTTCAACTGATAAGGCTGACATTTTTTTCACTTGTTATTTACAGTAAGATAAATACATTCACCAACTTTTATTAAAATAAAACCATTTAAACTGGGTGTTCGGATTTATATGTCACTTAGTATATCAATAAAGTGGTTAATTTTGGACGTGACTTCTATAGCTCTGTGAAAATTTAGTTTGAATCATCCAGACGTTTCTTTGTTTTGAACAATCAAAGTTTCAAAAAAAACATAACAAAAAATCTCAAACAACCAATGTAAAGGACCAATAATAATTATAAATGCAGAAGTGCAACGTTATATTTTGTTTAAACTTGTTTTGAGACATATTTTTTAGATCGTTGATAGAAAATTGTATGACATGAGAAAGATCTTGTGGATCAAGATTCAAAAAAATGTTACATTCCCTGATGTTAGGAGATTTTATGCATTTCGTCATGGTGGGTAGCGCTACACTAGGTCACTTAAGCTTGCCACTAAAAAGCATTAACTCTGAACTTTTTCTGTTATCCTCGTAGCTGATGCATTAAAAGACAAACTAAAGTCATACACCGAATTGAGAAAGCAAAGAGAGGAGTTTAGGGACCGTCTGGTGCGTTTGATAATTGAAAAGGAAGGTACCGGATCCGGGGAGCAAGAAGACATGATACCAAGTGCGGAAGAGAGAGAAATGCTTCGATACTATTACTATGTGAAGTACGGCGTTGATACGGTGCATGTAGCTCCATTGGACGAAGAAGTACTCACTAGGGCATGTATTTTGATCTTCAATATTCACGTAAAGTTTATTTTGTCTATGATGGTTCTCTGGTTATTTCGTCAAGAAGATTGCCTCAGTATACAGGGTGTCCCAGAAGTCGACGTCAAGCCGAAACCGGGTGATAGGCAAAGTCATGACAGCTATCAGAAAAATATTTAAAAAAATTTTATGTATGTGTTTTGAAAAATATAGGTCTTTGAAAAAAATATAGAAATTTCACACCCTACGGCAGTCTGTCAACTCCTGTTACTACAAATATTAACTTTTTTTGGATCTTATTTTTACAATGTAATGATGAATAATGCATCTTCAAACTGGTGTCTCAACCTTACTGCCAACTTTTCTCGTTCAGGAAAAATTGCCACTTATTTCCCAACCAAGTATTCCAACGTAAAACTTTCTTCAACTTTAACTGGCTGTACTGGAAAAAAATGTACTACGAGAGTTTGGCAAGTAACCTTAAAAGTTGGCGCATTTAATAAGGATTCCAAAATGGTATAACACTTAGAAGATTACTCGTTAGCCTATGCACAATTTTTATTTGAAGAAAAACTGATGAAAATTTTTCAAAATTTCCTAATTAAACAGCGATTATGAAAATGCACAAGGATCCTTAAGGATAACTGTTTGCACAACAGTGGGCGTCAAAATGCTGCTGATGATGATTTACCTTTACAGCAAATGCTCAAACTATTTTCCTTCAGCCGCAATACACGCTCGACATCTTAAAAAAGATCGGGTTATTAAACGAGCGAATCCACGGTTATTAACGAACTCAGCTGCTTCCAATAGTCTTTGCCGTAGCTCAACTACATTTTGAATCGGCTTGAAATACAAATTTTCTTTTACAGTTCCCCAGTAAAACGGATTCAAGTCTGGTGACCGGGCTGGCCACGGTATTGTACCAGACCGCCCTATCCATCTGCCTGGAAAGTTTTGATCGAGATACTCTCTCACTGAGAGTGCATAGTGCGCTGGGCAGCCATCATGCTGAAACCACATGTCCCTGTAAATACTCAGTGGCACGTCCTCCAATAAATTTTCTAAATAATTTTGCAAAAAACCTAAGTAAACCTCAGCAGTCAAAGTCTCTGGGAACGGACCGATTATTTTACCATTCAAAATTCCTGTCCAATGGTTTATCTTGAAGCGATATTGAGATTTATCTTCACTCATCAAATGTGGGTTTGCCACGTGCCACTCGTGTAAGTTATGCAGGTTCATGTACCCATCTTTCTTAAATGTGGTCTCATCTGACCATAAAATTTTTTCAAAGAACCGTGGATCTTCCCTGTGTCTTTCTAACATTGTGCGACAAAAAGCAACTCGGGGCTCATAATTCCGGGGCAGAAGAGCTTGAACACGCTGTACGTGGTATGGATGGAGCACGTTTTTTTGCAAGATTCTATGGGCTGTACTTTTGGGCACACCTGTTTTTAGTTCTATTGCACGCACTGAAGTACTCGGGTCTTCTTCGACAGCTCCTATTATCACGTCTTCGTAAGGAAGGAAAGATCTTCCCTCACCGTGTGATTGGTTTGGTAGTTGGCCCTCTGAGAACAGTAAGCGGTGCACATTTGTGAACACTCGATGATCAGGATGACGAGCTGCATTCGGGTACCTCTCACAGTAAAGTCTCGCTGCAGCAGTAGCGTTGCATCTGCATTCCCCGTAAATGAGGTGCATGTTAGCATATTCTTGTACGGTGTACACGGACATAGCGGCACTGCACAATCACACTATCAAAGATAGTCTAAGGAAAGCAAATGTTGTTTTGAAGAGCAATTAAACAGTCCAAATCCAAATCACAAGCGATCAACAGTCCAGTTCACGAATCCAAAATTAGTAACAGTACGAAATCAACAAGCACGAACATGTAAAGATGCGCAGTAAACGAAGGAGTACTGAGTAGAATGTTAGAAAGACACAGGAAAGATCCACAGTTCTTTGAAAAAATTTTATGGTCGGATGAGACCACATTTAAGAAAGATGGGTACATCCACCTGCATAACTTACACGAGTGGCACGTAGCAAACCCACATTTGATGAGAGAAGATAAATCTCAATATCGCTTCAAGATAAACCATTGGACAGGAATTTTAAATGGTAAAATAATCGGTCCGTTTGAGTTCCCAGAGACTTTGACTGCTGAAGTTTATTTGGATTTTTTGAAAAATCATGTACAAAATTTATTGGTGGACGTGCCACTGAGTATTTACAGGGACATGTGGTTTCAGCATGATGGCTGCCCAGCGCACTATGCACTCTCAGTGAGAGAGTGTCTCGATCAAAACTTTCCAGGCAGATGGATAAGGCGGTCTGGTACAATACCGTGGCCAGCCCGATCACCTGATTTGAATCCTTTAGATTTTTTTACTGGGGAACTGTAAAGGAAAAAGTGTATTTCAAGCCGATTCAAAATGTAGCTGAGCTACGGCAAAGACTATTGGAAGCAGCTGTGTTTGTTAATAACCGTGGATTCGCTCGTTTAATAACCCGATCTTTTTTAAGATGTCGAGCGTGCATTGCGGCTGAAGGAAAACACTTTGAGCATTTGCTGTAAAGGTAAATCATCATCAGCAGCATTTTGACGCCCACTGTTGTGCAAACAGTTGTCCTTAAGGGTCCTTGTGCGTTTTCATAATCGCTGTTTAATTAGGAAATTTTGAAAAATGTTCATCAGTTTTTTTTCAAATAAAAATTGTGCATAAGTTAACGAGTAATCTTCTAAGTGTTATACCATTTTGGAATCGTTATTAAATGCGCCAACTTTTAAGGTTACTTGCCAAACTCTCGTAGTACATTTTTTTCCAGTACAGCCAGTTAAAGTTGAGCAAAGTTTTACTTTGGAATACTTGGTTGGGAAATAAGTGGTAATTTTTCCTGAACGAGAAAAGTTGTCAGTAAGGTTGAGACACCAATTTGAAGATGCATTATTCATCATTACATTGTAAAAATAAAATCCAAAAAAAGTTAATATTTGTAGTAACAGGAGTTGACAGACTGCCGTAGGGTGTGAAATTTCTATATCTTTTTCAAAGACCTATAATTTTCAAAACACATACGTAAAATTTTTTTAAATATTTTTCTGATATCTGTTATGACTTTGCCTATCACCCGGTTTCGGCTTGACGTCGACTTCTGGGACACCCTGTATATGACACATTGATATAGGTGGGCCATTTAAAGTGGAAGCATCAAGCAACCCTATATCTTTGACATCAGTTGAGAGATCGGCTAATGTCATACCGCGTGATAACACTATCAGACATTTATACGCAAAATTTGTGGACACCGGTAGTCTTAGTAATGCCAGTCACCTATCCAGACAACGATGAAAATATCGAAGCCGTACGAGCCAGTGTTGAAGAGACTCCATAAACATCCGGTCGTCATCGTTCTCAAGAGTTAGGCATCGCTCGAACCACTTCTCCGACGAATAATTCGTAAGGATTTGAAGATGTTTCCATACAAAATTCAAATGGCTTAACAATTAGCCCAGCTGGTTATCCGTGTCGCTTTGATTTTAACGGGTGATTTTTTAAGAGGTATAGGATTTGATTTTCAAAAAAAAAAACACAAAAAATTTGAAAAAACGATTAAATCCTTATTTGAGTCGATAGAACGGGCGATATAATTTAATGTTTAAAGATTATTTCATGTAAATGTTGGCCGCGGCTCCGCTTTAGATGGCCCATGCGCGAGGTCCAATTTTGGCAGACTCTCTCCAACATATCGGCCGGTATCTCACGAATAAATGCTTCAATATTGGCTTCCAGTGCGTCAATCGTTGCTGGTTTATCCCTGTAGATATTGCCTTAACATGGCCTCACAAGAAATAGTCCGACGGCGTTAAATCACACGATCTAGGCGGCCAATTAACGGGCCCCAAACGTGAGATAAACTCGCCTCTCAATAGGGCCATTGTTTCGTGTGCCGTGTGGCATGTGGCACCGTTTTGTTGAAACCACATGTCAGCCAAGTCCAGCTCTTTCATTTTGGGCAAAAAAAGATTGTTATCATCGCACGGTAGCGCTCGCCATTCACAGTTACGTTCCGGCCATTGTCGTCTTTGAAGAAGTACGGCCCGATGATACCACCGGCCCATAATCCACATCAAACAGTGATTTTTTCGGGATGCATCGGTAGCTCTTGCAATGCTTCTGGCTGGTCTTCACTGCAGATGCGGCAATTTTGCTTGATAACGTACCCATTCAACCAGAAATGAGCTTCGTCGCTGAACACAATTTTTCGATAAAAATGTGGATCTTCCTCCAACTTTGCCAGCGCCCATTCACCAAATGAGAAACATTGTGGGATGTCGTGTGGCTTCAATTCTTGCACCAGCTGTATCTTATAAGGTTTTACACCCAAATCCTGTCGCAAAATTTTCCACGTAGTGGAGTAACAGAGACCCAATTGCTGCGAACGGCGGCGAATCGACATTTCACGGTCACACTGGCGGATACAGCCGCAATATTTTCTTCAGTCCTCACTCTACATCTGCGCGTTGGTGGTTTAATGTCCAATAATGTAAACTGGGTTCGAAATTTAGTCACAAGCTTCCGAATAGCTCCCTCAGTAGGCCGACCAAATTGCCCATTGGAAGCAGTGCTCGATGCACTCTCTTAACCGAGCATGAATTTTGATAGTAAAATTCATTAATTTGCAAGCGTTGTTCGTTCGTAAGTCGATTCATGGTTGAATTATAGACCAAACTGAACAAGTTTGACAATGACAATGACACAAGACACGATTCACG